ATGACTCAGTGGATGAAGGTACCTGACAACCTGAACCCAGACGGTGGAGGGAGAGACTTAACTGTCTCTGACCTCTACATGTAAAATGTGACACGCCCCCTCCACCTATACATACATGTGCAACTCTCTCTCTCTCTCTCTTTCACACACACACACACACACACACACACAACCAAAATTAAAAATAACCTCAAGTGCAGTACCACCATCTTGGGGGAGCCATTCTGCGTCTCTTCTACTTCTGAACTTGATCCCTTTATGGCATTTTATTGACTTGGATCTCCGCTGTTTGAGAACACATGTTGTCTTCTTTTCCAGTCCAGAAGTTTCCCGAGGGTTGGCCTTGTGCTCGATTCCTGCTTGTGCAGTCTGGTAGTGCCGTCACTCCATCGTGTACGAGAAGCAGGGGCTCAGCCCGTGCTGGCTGATTCAGGACGGTCGTGGGCACGGCAGAGCGTGAAGACAGCACACGGGAGCCCACATCTCCTCACACGACACCTCTCGCCTGGCAAACGGACACACGGTTTATATAAAAACACTGGGACACATCTCTGCCCCACAGCTCTGTGTAGATATTCCTCCTAAACCAATGGTTCTCAGCCTTTCTAACGCTGCCACCCTTAATACAGTTCCTCAGGTTGTGGTGACCCCCCCACCAACCATAAAATCATTTTGTTGCTACCTCATAACTGATTTTGCTACTGTTATGAATCTTAATGTAAACACCTGTGTTTTCTGATGGTCTTAGGTGACCCCTGTGAAAGCGTCACTCAACCCCCAAAGGGGTCACAACCCACAGGTTGAGAATGCTGTCCTAAACCAACCCTTTTGTCTAATTTTTCCCTTTTTATTTGTCCTGGTAATCCCATGCTGTACTTTATCATTCCTTCTCAATTTTTAGTGCGTGCCAGTGTGCATGTGAAGGTTCATTCATGTGGCCTTTATTCTGGAAGGCTAATTTATAATTCTTTATAATGCTGGGCAAGAGGCAAAGCTTCCCTTTTGCTCCACAGGGAGATGCAATCTTGGCCTTTCAAGGCTTTGTACTACGAAAGCATCTTTTGAAAGTCAAGAACCAAGGCAGGCAGTACATTTGCTCACAGGACTTGTAGAAATGGGACAAGACTTCAGGAACTCCTTGTTTACATGTGTTGATCTGCAGAACAGACACAGGACCCTGAGAGACCTGGGTCCTCATTGAGAGCTGGGGGGCAGCTGGAATTTGTGGACACAGTGCTGGAGGGGAGGGGGCTGTGTGGGCCCAACTGCAGTGTACACCGGGTTTCCTTGATACTTATGCACACAGGCAAAGGCTGACTATTGGAAAACAGCATCCGGGAGGCTGGAGGCCAAGAAATTTCCCGAGCTCACAGGGATGTGGGAGATGTCCCAGTTCTGACTGGCAGGAGTGGCCAGGGAGAGGCACATGGGCTCTGTGGTTCAGTGAGTCTTTGTCCTAAGATGTCTTGGTCTGGGATGCTAGCCTCAAGTATCACAGGCCTGGTGGCTTATGAGCGATGGCAATGCATTGTAGAGGCTGCACATATAAGCCAGGTACCAGCATGAGTGGGTCCTGGTGAGAGCCCTCTCCTAGGTTGCATGCTGCCTTCTTGTATTTCCACCTGATAGAAGAGATCGAGGAGCTCCCTAGACAACATGAACGTCATTCATGAGGGCTCTAGCCTCATGACCTACTAACCTTTTAAACGCCCTGTTCCCTGACAGCACTACATATCTGGGGTTAGAATTCCCACGTGTGATGTTTTTTCAGTGCCGGGGATTAACGCGGGGTCTTGTGTAAGACAGGCTGTGAGCCAGCCCATAGGTCTCTGTGTTGCTCTTCTTTCTTTTTTTTTTGCACACATAATCTAAACTCCTAGTTGTGACAACCCAAAATATCTGCAGACATTGCCGGTATTCCTACCGTGGAGGTGGACGCGTTATTGCCCCTGATTCAGAACCCGCGTTCTGGACCTGTCTTAATAATGCCGGAAAACAAGGCTTGGAGGCGTTTAACTTCTCTATAAAGAACTCAATCATCTGACTCCTCTCTTCAAACAACAGCCACAACAACAAAAGGACAATGTGATTCGGATACTCGACAGTGCCAACGACATTCACAATGCCCAGCTGTGTCCAATCAAAAACTGCTAAGCGTGCTATGAAGTATTAGATGAAAACCCGCACCAGGCGGCTGTCAGCGACGAGAGACAGACTTACGTAGATCCAGAACAGGCATGCAAGACTCTTTAAAAATGAAGCTCTTACTTCATGGCTGGAGAGATGGCTCAGTGGTTAGAAACACTTGCCACTCCTGTAGAAGACCTGGGTTTGGTCCCCAGCACCTATATGGTGGCTGACGACGGCATAGGACTCTAGACGCCCTCGTCTGTCCACCAGAAGTGCATGCATGTGGCGCACTCACATACGTGCAGGCAAAACACTCATACACATAAAAATTAAAATAAGTATTTTGCTTTACATGTGTGTGTGCACGTGTACACACGTGCATGAGTGTTAGATTCTGCAGAGGCCAGAAAATGGCGTCAGATTCCTTGGAGCTGGAGTTACCAGTGATTGTGAGCTGTCTGATGTGAGTGCTGGGGACGGACTTCGCTGGGGACAGACTTCTGACCCTCTTGGAAGAGAAGCAGGTGCTCTAACCACTGGGCCGTCTCTCCAGTCCCATGAAAGCATCCGAAAGGGTCTATTACAGTGGTGTTGAAAGATTTCAGGAAAAACAGGTACACAATGAGATAAGAAATATTATTAAAATCTCTCTGTTGTCTCTCTCTTTCTCTCTCTCTCTCTCTCTCTCTCTCTCTCTCTCTCTCTCTCTCCCTGAGATAGTCTCTTATTACTGGCTCAAGGTACAACATTTTTTTTTCTAGGACTAACTCAGGAATATACCATGTAAAGTAAAATAGTTGCCGAATGAGCTTCCAGCACATCGACTAGATATTGCAGAAGAAAATGTCTGTGAACATGTGCACACAACAACATCCCAAACCCCCAACCCCCCAACCCCCCAAACTCCCCTAAATCTATTCAGACCAAAGCCCCCGACACAGTGACCTATTGGGTAATTTCAGCAATTTAATGAATATGTAGTTAAGAGTTCCAGATGGAAAACCAAGAGTGAGGGTGGGGGGTGGGGGGGGAAACTGCATTGGAAAAAAAAATAACGTCTGAAAACTATTCAAATATTATGGAAGTCATAAACTCAATTATAAAAAAAATTGAAGTTGTATAAACACAAAGAAAACCACACATTATATAATGTTCCTGCAACCTAACGATGGAAGGAAAAACAGTAGAATCGGGCAGACTGGAGGGAAAACCCACATTGCTTACAGAAAATGAAGAAGGAATGAAGGAATGAATACTTACCTCCCCATTAGGAATGCAGGAGGCCCTTTCTACTCACTGCCCCTGAGAGGTGAGCAGCTTTGTTACGCCAGGGTCCCCTCCATGACGCTCAGTCTTACCTCAGGCACACAGCAATGCAGCCAGCCAGCCACGGCCTAAAACCTCTGAAACCACGGAGAAAATGCGTTATCAGGAAATGAACCAACAGATTTCCCAAAGAATCCGGTTGTGAGCCAGGCAGTGGCTCATGCCTTTAATCCCGGCACTTGGGAGGCAGAGGCAGGCCTATCTCTGTGAATTCGAGGCCAGCCTGGTCTTTAGGGCAAATTCCAGAGAAACCCTGTCTCGAAAAACCAAAACCAAAACAAACAACAAAACAAAACAAAACAAAAATCAGGCTGTCTTTCTTTCTATGTCCAAATGCAGAGGAAGAAATCAAACCTTGGGAAGCCCAGCTGTGGGCGAGCCTCGACGCATGCACATGTCTCAGTGAAGATGACCGACCAGATCCTCCTACCTGATGCAGTACCTAATGGAGTAGCCAAGATGCCTCCCTTGGTGAACAGGGTGGGGTGGGGTGGGGGGAAGCAACCCAACAGGTTATTCCTGTTTGAATTAATCCAGGTAAGGCTTTTACAGTTTTATAGCAGGGATGGAACGCTTGAGTGTGTTGAAAGACACGGAGGAGGTCCCATGATGTCACACCATGGATCCATTCCTCCCACGCCTGTGCCTCCTTGTTATCGCTTACAGGGAGTGAAAATGGTAGCATCCACTGGGCAGTGGGCACACTCCGGTCTCCCACGTGTCGTCCCTCAAGCTACCCCTCAGCCACATTTCTACCCCAACACTTACTCCCCTACTGGACTCACGACACCAATAAAAACAGTTCTATTAGTTGACGATTTTGTACCGTGTTTTTTGATCATATTCATTCCTTCACCAAATTCCTCTTTCCAACCCACCCAACTTTGTATCATCTTTTTAAAAAACCCATCAAGCCCAGTGTGTGCTTCCCATACTCTGGATGTGTGGCCATCCACTGGATGGGGGATCAACCTCCCATGGATCATACCCTTAAAGAAAACTGACTCTCCCCCTTCCAGAAGCTATCAGTTGCCAATAGCTCCTTGTGGGGGCCCACAGAGATTTCCTAATGGAGATCTGAGCTTGCTTTACCTTGCAGGGCTGCATTAGGGGATGGATTGACCATGTGCGTGGTTACCAGGTGTTTGGAAGGGTCTGCACTTGGCTGTGCTGGGGGAGGTCTTTTACCCCGCCCCTTGGCATTATAAAAAGCCCCTTTGAAGAGACAGAAGGGGCCAGTGGATATGATCCAGGTCCTCCTGAAACTGTCCTGTGTTTCTCTCTGTCTTCTGCACACTGTCTTTCTATCTAAATATTTCTTATCCCCCTCTCCTCAAGAATATCCTGGGAAAAAGGGGGAGCCAGCCTCCTACAGCTCCTCAGCTAGGGATGTGATTTTGTGTCAACTTTCCCTCTCCATGCTGGGATCAAGTATGGCTTGAACGTGGGCGGGTCTTGAGTATGCTGTCACAAATGCCGTCACCACCCACCTTTTATTCACACATATAACTCACACATGGTCTGCTACCCTGGAGATACATCACTTCAGTATTGACCTGTGTGCATCCCCTGACATTACAGACCAAGCAAGAAATGATGCTAACTCTTCGGAATGTCAAGCTACAGGAGCCAAGGACCGGGGCAGGAAGCCTTCACACAAAAACCCGGAAGGTTACGGGATTGACTGCTCTCCCCCCATCTACAGAAGCAATTGTCTGCAAGTGCACAGAGGCCATGGGGAGGGTCACTGCAAGGCCGTGGAAGAGCGGGGAAATGTAGATGTCAGCAGAGGTGGGTCTCCCCAAAGAAAACACTGAGCAGGACGTTGTCCAAAGCTGAATGTCCCAAACTTACCTGACAATGCTTGAGACATTTGCTGTAAAAGGTGAATTATTGAGTTGGGAAGGGCCTGGAAAAACTATCTTTCACATAAGAATATTATCTGATGGTGGTTTGTTTTCCTGCCAGGAACGCTTGGGTAGGCAAACCTCTCTGGTCTGTTTCTTAATAAGGAAAGACTATCATATCCGTTAAGTTTTTGTTAATGCTTCATGGTGGAAATTTCATTGCACGTCCATGTGACTTTCTACCTCATCTCGGTGAAAAGTGTCTAGAAGTGTTTTCACAGCAGCCTTGTTCCTCTCTACATAGACAGATGTGGGAGAAAGTCAAGGCAGAACTACGGTTCCTAACGAGTTCAGGCTAGCTTAAATCTCAAAACAGTTGCACCTCGTGAAATGAGATGCGGTTAACCCATGTCGTCATGCAACTGTCGTCGTATAACAGGAATGCATTTCCATTGTTTCAGTTATTAGATGTGTAACACCACCGTTGGCACCCTGAGTGAGGCCCTCATAGACTAAGATGTACGCACGCACGCACGCACGCACGCACGCACGCACGCACGCACGCACTCACGCACGCACGCACAAATGCTTAGAAGGGCCCGGTAGAAAGTGAGAGTGGAATTGGGTAATGCATGCCTGCAATCCCAGCACTTGGGAAATGGAAGAAAAGGCCCTCAGAGACATCTTGGGCTACAGATGTGTGTGTTCTAGGCTAGCCTGGGCTACTTGGAACCTTGTCTCAAATGACAGTAATAACAACAACAGCAGCAGCCATGAAAACAAAAACCAAAAACTACCAAAAGTGAACAAACAACAGCATGACAGCCCCCACTCCCACCAGGGAGTCCACCGCTGAGTCCAGTGTGTATGTTTTCAGTAACGTTTGTAGAGGCAGTCTATTTTGATGTCCTGGGAGGAAAAAAGCCGGCCTTCTATACAGGCCCACAGAAGCCTGGCTTAAGAAAAAAGAACAATGCTGTGACAGAGTACATGCACTTTCAGGTACAGATGCCTGAGAAACAAGAAGGTCAACATCAGAGACAAGGTGACGTGACAGTCACAGTTCTTCATTCATTTCATCCCAGGAGGAGCCTGGACTTGAGAGAGAAGGAGTTGGTGGATGGGAAAGATATGCGCTGTTTGTGTTTGTGGGTCTGGGGGAAATGAACCTCCAACGGGGTGAGGAAGATGTGGAGGAACCAGACATGGCAGCAACAGTTTCCCCTGGGTATTTGTGACGAGTGAAGTGTAGCAGGAGGAAGAGGAGGACCAGTCAGTGAAGTGTGACTGTTGTGATTTCTAAAAGCTGGTTCCTAGTTGGGCGGTTGGTGGTGTTTCACACCTTTAATCCCAGCACTTGGAGGCAGAGACAGGTGGATCTCTGTGATTTCGAGGCCAGCCTGTATTGGGGAAAATTATAAAGGCCACTCCACGTAGTTAAAAGGAAGATTTATTTAGTGGATGACTTACAAATGAAGGAATGGATAGGTCGCGGGGGTCTGGGGAAGGCGTTTAGCAATCCAGCGGTGTTCTCTGGAGCTCTGCACAGTCAATCTCCACTGTCCAGGGTCCAGGCACAGAGAGCGCGCCCAGAGCGAGCGCTCGCCCATCCAGCTCTTGGGTTTCCAGCACCTCCCCTCGCCCCGCCTCGTAGGCGTGACAGTTGCCAGAGTCTCAATGGGGGTTGGAACTTCCAGATCCAAGCTGGAATGGCTACCCACTACAAGCCTGGTTTACAGAATGAGTTCCAGGACTGTTTCACAGAGAAACCCTGTCTTAAAAAAAAAAAATCCTCTTTCTATATTGTATTGTATTCATTAAATATTATTCTTACAATTACTAAGTAAAACATAAACAGGTATCACCCAGGGTTCAAAGGTCTACTTATTTGTTTGTTTGTATTTGTGTGTATTTGTGTGCATGCATGTGTATGTATGTGTGTGTATTCATGTGCATGTGTGCAGTGTATGTATGTATGTGTGTGTATGTGTGTGTATGTGTGTGTATGTATGTGTGAGTATATGTGTTTGTGTGTGTATGTGTGTGTGTGTATATGTATGTGTGTGTGTGTGTGTGTGTGTGTGTGTGTGTGTGTGTGTGTGTGATGACAATTTACCGGAGCCGGTTCTTTCCTTTTACTATGTGGGTCCGAGGGATTGAACTCAGGTTGTGAGATTTAGTGGCAAGCACCTTTACCTACTGACCCATCCCACTCACCCAAGAACTGCTCTTCCGGATGCAGGAATTTCACTGTGTTGCCCACGCTGGCCTTGAGCTTGTGGTGGGCTCAAGCATTCTTTCTGTCTGGTGCCCTGAGCTTGTGGGCTGTGAGTTTAGCTACGAAGCCATACTTCAGTCTCGGAGAAGGGAATGACGCCTCAACCCTACTATGACATAGTCCTACCCAAACATTGCAAACGCTTTAACAGAAAGAATATGGGTGCTTAAAAAAAGATCTCACCAATACCTTAATCACAACTGCTCAAGTCCAAATGCAGAACACAAGACAGACAGACAGACAGACACAGACACAGATACAGACACACACACACAGAAAAGGGTGGGGGCACATAAACATGTACCTGCCTGCATATAAATATGTACATGTACATGTACATGTACATCCATGTAAAATAAAATGAAGCAAACCCATTAGAATAACAGACGCAGAACAGTCAGAGCAATCCTGAGCAGAGAGACCAATGCTGGAGGTGTCGCCATACCCAACATCAAGGGACACTACAGAGTCATAGTAACAAAGCAAGCACAGTACTGTCATGAGCACAGAACGTAGCCCAGTGGAAGAGACTAGAAGGCCCAGAAGCAAAGCCACACAGTCAAACCACCTTAGGTTGTTTATATCCTTTAGGTTTAATTTGCCAGTTGGACATATGTGTCTAGAAATATATCTATTTCTATTATTATTCTAAATTTATTATTATTATTATTATTATTATTATTATTATTATTATTATTATTAGTTTTTTTGAAACAGGGTCTCTCAATGTAACCCAGCTGCGGCTTTAAACCCACAGAAATCCACCTGCCTCCACCTCCCAGGTTTTGAGATTAAAAGCGTGCATCACCCTGCCTGGCCACCCATTTCTTTTAAATGTTTCCGATTTATTGGAATATGGGTTTTCAAAGTGTTTGCTGACAATCCTCTGAATTTTACTGGTATCTGTTGCAATGTCTTCCTTTCTATCTCTAATTTTGTTTATGTGCTAAAATCTTGTTAGATTTGCTTATTTTGTGTTATGATTTTTTTTTTCTCACGTGTATCATCTGTGTGTGCACCACATGCCTGCCTGGTGCCCAAGGAGGTCAGGCATCTTATCCCTGGGACTTGAGTGAGCCATCTTATGCATGTTGGGAATTGAACCTGGGTCCTCTGCAAGAACAAGTGCTCTTACCCAAGGTAAGAGCCATCTCTTCAGCCCTGTCTCTAGTTTTATCAACTTGAGTTCTTTCTTTTCTTTTTGTTGGTTTGACTATGGAGCTTGATGATCTGATTTATCTTTCTGCCTTGCTTTTTGACAAAGTTGCCAAAGCATCCATTAGCAAAAAGATAGCCTGGACATTCACATGAAGAATGAAGCTCCATCTCCCCCTCTCATCCTTTATAGAAATTAATTACACATAGATCAAAGGCTAATTCATGTTAGGCTGGAAACTCTAAATGGGTAGAGGAAAACGGATATTGGCAAGGACTTCCTGAAAAAACTCCAGGGACCCAAGAAGAGAAAACCCAGGCAGACAAATTGAATAGTCTGAAGCTAAAAGCTTCCTCACAGCAAGGGCTATAGTAAGAGTCAAGGGAGAGCCCCCAGAGTGGGAGAGAATCTTTGCTAGCTGCACATCAGACAGAATAACTAGAATATATAAAGAACTCAGTGCAGTAAATACAACACCCCTAAGCAACCCGATCAATAAGTGGGCTAATAAATCTTACAAGGTGAGGCACAACTAACTAATAGATATATGGAAAATGTTTGGCATCCTTAGCCATCAGAAAAAAGCAAGTTAAAATTATGCTGAGGTTGCACCTTACCCCAGTCAGGATGGCTGTCACTAAGAGAACAAACAACAAATGTTGGTGAGGATGCAGTGGTGAGGATGCAGTGATGAGGATGCAGTGGTGGTGAGGATGCAGTGATAGAATGCAGTGGTGAGGATGCTGTGATAGTATGCAGTGGTAAGGATGCAGTGGTGATGAGGATGTAGTAATGATACAGTGGTGAGGATGCAGTGGTGGGGATGCAGTGTGAGGATGCAATGGTGAGGATGCAGTGGTGAGGATGCAGTGGTGGGGATGCAGTGTGAGGATGCAATGGTGAGGATGCAGTGGTGAGGATGAAGTGGTGAGGATGCAGTGGTGAGGATGCAGCGGTGAGGATGCAGTGGTGGGGATGCAGTGATGAGGATGCAGTGGTGATGGTGCAGTGGTGATGATGCGGGGGTGAGGGTGCAATAATGAGGATGCAGTGGTGGAGTGTGATGGGGGACGGTACTTATATGGCTGGTGAGAATGTGAATTAGTCCAGTCACCATGGAGATCATCTTTAGAGGTCTCTCAGGACACTAAAAGTAGATTTATCACATAGCCCAGCTCTACTGCTCCTAGATACTCACCCAAAGGACTCCAAGTAAAAGCATCACAGTGTGTCTTATTTAGTTACTGTTCTGTTGCCATGAAGAAACACCATGGCCCAGGCAACTTATAACAGAAAGCATGTAACTGGGGACTCACTTACAGCGTCAGAGGGTTAGTTCATTGCCATCATGGCAGAAAGCATGGTGGCAGGCAGGCATGGAGGTGAGAGTTTACATCCTGATCCACAGGCAGAGAGAGGAGGGGAGAGAGAGACACTGGGCCTGGCATGGCCCATCCCCAGTTACACACTTCCTCCACAAGGCCACACCCCCCAATCCTCCTAATCCTTCTCAAACAGTTCACTAACTGGGGATTGAGCATGCAGATATATGAGCTTCAGGGGGCCGTTCTCATCCAAACCACCACACCCACTGTTTCTTACAGCGCTCATCACAATAGCCAAACGCAGAACCAGCAAAGGTGCCTGTCAACAGATGAACGGACAAAGGACGTGCAGAATGCACACACACCGTGGAGTTTCTAGTTTTCCACAGCAGAGTTTCATTGCCATGAACAAGAGTGAAACTATGCCATTTGCAGGAAGACGGATGCAGTAGGAGATCGCTGTGTGAAGCGAAATCAGAAAAACTCACAAAGGCAAATACATTTTCTTTCACTTGTAGATCCTAGATTTTATATAAATATATAAAAATCTTTTTTTTTTTTTTTTTTTTTTTTTTTTTTAGTTTCTCGAGACAGGGTTTCTCTATGTACCTGCCGTGGCCATCCTGGAACTCGCTCTGTAGACCAAGCCGTCCTTGAACTCATGGAGACCCGCCTGCCTCTGTCTCCTGAGAGCTGGGATTACAAGCGCATGCCACCACTGCCCGGCTAAAAATCATTTTATAATTTTTGTATCACGTCATGAAAATAGAAGTGAAAATGTCTGAGGAAGAAGGGGGTAATGGGAGGGACAGTGAGAAAGGGGAGGGTTGTGGGGGGACCAGGGTCAATGGTCACAGTGTAAGACAATGTCTTTCTTTTCTTGGCTCAGGGGATTGAACCCAGTACCTTGTGCATGCTACCACACACATGCCCTACCACTTAGCCATACCCTCTGAAAATGTTTTAATAAGACCCATTACTGAGTGTAAGAAATATATGCCAATAAAAAAAAAGAAACTGTACTTATAATTTAAAACTTCCCCACAAAGAAAATCCAGGTCTTCTTTGATGAAATCTGCCAAACCAACCTTCCTTCCTTCCTCCCTTCCCTCCTTCCTCTCTCCCCCTCCTTTCTCTCCCCCCTCTTTCTTTCTCTCATTCATTCATTCATTCATTCATTTATTATTCATTCATTCATTCGTTTGTTTATATTATTTATATGTCCCACTCCTGACCCAGTCATAATGGTGGGACCTTTGTCTGGGTCTCACTCTCCTTCATTTTCCTCCTTCAGGTCTGACCTAAGATGTAACCTTTCCAAATGTCCATCTTTCTTATTGTATCTTATAGAGTCCTGTATCCTTCAGGTA